GTAGATGTTTAAGGTGAAATTGTTTGCTGAGAAGAGTGTTATCGATTAAAGATGTGTTTTGGATATTTGTGCAATGGTTAGATAGCAATCCAGTTAATGGAAAAATCTTTGAGGACAACCATAAGGCCTTGACATCTTGTAGGATGTTTGAGCTGTTGGATCTGGTGTCTGATATTTGGTTACAAGTGAAGCTTTAGAAATTCATCTGATAGATTTCCTRAATGGTTTTGTATATTACATCTGATCCTTGTTAGATATTGATAGGGTTGTAAATGGATTAGATTTAGGCTGGATTGGGATGAACTAAGTTCAACTGGATTTTTTACACCCTAGATATGACTTTGATTATATATTTGATTGGATTTGGGAGTTACATTAATAACATCATAAGTTAAAGTAATAATAATAATGAAAAAATGGGAACTAAGTAACCTGCTAAATCCAAATATCAAAAATAATATCATTAGTTTAGATTGCAAAAGATGTGTTTAACGTGCTCAAGCTTGAAGAATAAAATAAAGAAGGAACCAATGCATAGAAGAAGAATATTGGGAAAAAGAAAGATTGAGATTCATCAAAAGAAATAAATTTTTAGCAGGGTTTAGGGGTAAGGTATAGGACTGCATAAGCAATGATCGTAAAATCCCTATGTACAGTAGCTTGTTGAGAATTTGTTAAAATTTGAATGGGTTTGGCTCGAAAGCCCAGGCCCCACACAATGTAAGCTCCTTAACTCAGGTGCTCGACCTGCACCTCCACTAGAGGTTAGAAATACTTCATTGTTATAGTTGTTCAAGACTGAACTTGTAGTGCACTACGATGCCATGCATTTGAATGTAGTTGATGAAATGGTGGTAGTTTTGTTACATTGAGTTTAACTTATAATGGGTAATATAAAAGGTACTTGGAATCAATCACTTAATTTAGTTATTCTTTATACCTCTGAAGGTGGACCTTGTGCAACAATTCCAGATGTTATTCTTCGTGGTATTTGGTAGCACATGTTCACCACCAAAAGTGGAGTCAATGTCATGGAAAGTTAATCAGAATTAGAAATTCTTGGACAGTATATGTCTAAGATGGAGTTCATGGCACAATTATGCAAGTGCAGTTTTAGACTGCCAACATTATAGGGACTGGTCAGAAATGATCCTAGAGGCACTGCTGCACTGATTTTTTTTGGACAATTATGTCAAGATTCTAGTTTGGATGATTAATCTGCATTCAAAATGATATCCTAAAATAAATTTTCTTGCATGTGATCTGAGAATCACAGACACAAAGTAGGCATAATTTTCTTTCTCCCTTTGATTGGTACTATTGGCATATGGTTCTGCTATCTCAAGCACTATTTGAGAGTTCTAGCATGGAGAAGAGGCAACTAAAGCTTTGTGCAACTGATATTTGGGGCCTATAGGCTACAGATTTTTTTAATGAATTTGTTTGCAATTCAATTTCTGAACAAATAGGCTACAGATTTTTTCAATGAATTTGTTTGCAATTCAATTTCTGAACAAATTTGGGTCAATAGGCAGTGTGGTTGTCTTGATGATGTTGATTCTTTTGCTCATATAAGGAGCTAACTACAAATGTTAAATTTTCAATTCTCTCTCTCAGGATGATATGGTAGTTTGACAATTGGCTAACAGCAAAAATCCAATTAAGCATGAAGCTGGGTTATTTCAGGATCAATGATTGATTTGCTAGTGGATCAGTAATGATTAGAATTTACTTAACAGTGGAAGTGGCTAAATTAGCTTTTGAATAGGTAAATTTTAAAATCTAAAAGTAACGGTAAATTATGGCCAAATTTGGTGAAAGTGGGCCAATGGTTAAATTTGATGCCTTAAATGATCAAATTATGTTACAAAAATTGGATGAGCAATTTCAGGAGTTGGACCGCTTTATTTTTGCATCTATCAACAAGCCAAACATGAACAAATACGTTCAATAAAAAATTGCATTTCAAAACAAACAACGAGAGTGCAAAGAGCCCAGACGTCCGGCCCTACTTTGCATATGCTTGGACCGGTTCTGCAAAAAATGTGTAGTGCATATTTGTATAGCACTGCATCCAAACGGAGCCTAAGGAACCGTGTGTTAGGAAACCATTTTTGAGTCCGGAAGTTTTTAATTTGGGTAATTATATCTTTCTTGTAACAACTTTTTAGATTCTATTTTTTGGTAAAAGAGACGAAAACCAAATTCCTCTTCTCGGAGTTCTCAATGATGTCATGACACAAAAAGAGAGAATCTTAGCCAGCTGGATATATCCTTTTTTGTATCGCCTAGTTAAAATTTAAACAATCACTTTTTATATAAATTCGATCACCTTCAAAACAAGAGCTCAAATCAATTCCTCTTAATAGAGTCAGAGCATTCACCTAGATGGCATGTTGGTCTTCATAGCTTCCAAAATGGACAAGTATCTGAACCCTATGATCATGAACAATTAGTGACTTTCTAGGATATATGCTAATTTGTCTAGCTGGAACACTAAAGGTTATATAGCTTATTCATGTTGCTATCAGGATACTTGGCATATATTCTTATAAAAAAATTGAAAGCTTTATTACATGGGTCATTATTAATTCTTGGAGAATGGTCATAAATTTAGAAGCGATAAAAGATCTTTTTTATGGCAAATAAGAATACAAGAGATGCACCAACTATACTCTCTGGATCTGATGTATTAGTAGGTGAATGACATGAATGTCACATTTGGAAAACATGTTCATGATAACAATCTTGTGGAAGAAAAAGAAAATCTTCTTTAAGTTGTCATATTAGAGAGATATTTTATTATTATGTTATATTCTTGATGTCATACATATTGAAAGGAATATATGTGATAACGTAGTTGAGACATTATTGAACATTGAAAAAAAAAGTAAGGATAACCTAAAGTCTCATCAAGACTTGCAAGACCAACATTTCACCTAATGCAAATTGGGTAAAACAAAAGGGTTAAGTACACTACAACTCAATGCAGAATTCTGAATTACAACCCCCTGTAGTTTATCAGTAGCCCCCCTCCCCATAAACCTCATCCTACCCATAGATTTAGCATCAATCCACGGTTAGGATTCATCCCCTGTACAGTGTGGCTAAAAAACTCTAACCTGGACTAATCAGTCATTCTCCCTAAAACAAAACATATTTGCCTCCAACGTGTTTTATAATGGATGATAATAAGGAAAAAGAAATCGATTTCCAAGTCTCAAAACAAGTAAAAGTTTATGATGGTTATACATCAAACATTTCATGATGTATACACTTAGAGTGAAAATATCATGAATGAAGAGTCATGATTGCCATATTTTGATGCAACAATTATTTCTGTTAACTATTTGAAGAATATTACCTAAGAATGTAATTTTAATTTTGATTGAATTAAGCTTATTTAAAAAAAATAAATAAATCATGTTCCACAATTGTTCAGATACATCAGTTTGAAATATTAGAATCTCGAATTTCATTGATCCTTTGTAAACGAGAGAGAACTTTCCCAACACCATTTTTTTTGACACTATGGTGCATTTAATGATCCATTTAACGGGTGACGCTATGATATATGGACTTGTACAACATCGTTGGATGTATCCCATTGAGAAGCATGTATTATTATTTTGAAATTTTAATTTGATTATATACTCAATGCATATTTTTTCCAAATTCATGTGATTATAAGTATCTATCCACATTAAAGTCATACTAACATGATAGAAACCGACCTAAAGGTTCAATTGCAGAATTTCCCAAAACTGACTGTAAATTTTGTGTAGCTGGTATCATGAGGACCTATGACTCCACATTGTCCATAGAAAATCTATAATCTTTCGTATTGGAAAGAGTTCCATTTCTTTGTTCCATCCTCTCTTATCAAATTACCACTCTTATACTGTATGCCTTTTTTCGAAGCGGTTCATCTTCCTCTGATCTTTTTTATGCCTTTTTTCGAAGCGGTTCATCTTCCTCTGATCTTCTCTTTCACCATTGTTCCAACACAACTCACCAATTTTGCCCCCCCAAGCTCAAAATCATTTTTCCATCGATGTATCCAAAATTCTTACATAGGCATCCAATTCTACGAAGGGCAGATTTCTAAGAATAACATTGTGTTCCCATCTCTGTAACATCACTGGATAACACTGGCCCGACCACGTTTCTGATATTTCCTTAAAAAACTATCCCAAGTGTTTCATATTTGATCCATTTCTTTTCGCATATATATTTGGCTAGAAGTTTTTCACCTTCTGGAGAACTCCAAAGGCATTCATCTGTTCATCAATAATTACTTTCCCATAYAACACTTTTATAAATTTCTTCAATTTTCCTGTATCTCTATGATCGCCGTCTTCAAATTGATTTTCTTGCAGATTCTACAGAGATAGCCAGCCCTAAAAAGCCAACTAGAAAAAGAACGTCACTCAATGGGAAGAAACGAGGTTGTAAAAGGAGAAAGCTTTAATGCTCCTTAGAGCACCATGTGTTTTCACTTTTCCCACTGAGCTCCTTAGATTAACATTTTGCAAACTAAATATAGAATACTTTGGTTAAGAATGAGAAAACCAAATTAATTGAGTTATTCTTGGAGTTCTAGTCTTATATTAATTTTTGTATTTAATTTTTCATATTAAATCAATTAAAAGATAATTAATATACATTCCAATTAATGGCAATTGAATTCCAAAAATCTTCTGCAATTAATAATGATAAATGAGTTCCCAATGCCTTCGGTTAGTTTTACGTTTTAAAATGAGAGAGATAGGGGGGGAGGGAAAGTTATTTCTTCACCTTTTGGAATATACGTGCATGGCAATTGCTCTTACACTAGTACTACATAAAAATGAACTCACATAGCACCATAGACCACTCATGTGGCCCTTTAGAAAATTACCTTTGACACTGGCTTGGCATTCTGTCCTTTTCCCTAGGTATAGGTGTAAAAGTAGCGTCAATCACGACACGCTTTGGAAGAACAAGTGCAACTCTACAAGTGTAATAAGGCTTTCTATATCTATATTGATTTGAAGATGGTTATACGAGTTCAACTCTACAAGAAGCAATCATGATGATGATTACGATTGGAGACTTTTATTATATTAAAAGGCAATTAGGATCTGCATCTGCTAGCCAATTGACAAATGAAGGTCTACCACAGTTTGCCCTAATAGGGGCCTTTATATACAAAAAATAAGGAGGCTAAACACTAGACCCGATTGCTAAAGATGGGTTATCTCTGCCTAGTTTTCAATATCATAGTAATCAAGAATTTGATGTCTCTGGTCCTACATCTTCAGAAGCTGAATGCCCACCGACCCCTTGCTCACCCTCCCAATCACCACTCTGCGCTGGAGTCTCAGATTTCTTTCGCGACCCTGCTCCAAGCCTTCTCTGGTGTTCTGAGAATCCCCCCCCCCCCAAAAAAAAAAAAAAGATAATCCAATCAAGAACAGCAATTAAAGAATCCCAAATGTAGGAACTATGAAGGACATACTTTCAGTCTAGGACTTGAAAATAGAAGATTACTTTTGTTTGTAATTGCACTGCGGGTCATTGTCAAGAACTCCTCCCACTTGAATCGCCTTAGCTCTTGCTTCTCCTCCTCAGAAAGCTCGAAGTTTGGCTCTCTCCCACACATAAAAGCTGCCCTGCGAAGTTATAAAGAGAAAATATGTCTTAAAGATATTCAAATGACTCTAAACAAATAAATGTTCCATTACATAAACTGAAAATGAAAAATGATTTGAGGTATCAGGGCCCCAAACAGTTGTATGCTTAGTGGGCCAGCACAGCCCGTAGTGGGCTGGCTTCATGTCTTGCTGTGCCATGTCAGCGGGCCTCAAAACCTAAGCCCAGCATGGCCCAGTTGCTACAGCAACTGGATCATGCTCAGCATGGCCCATATCATGCCAGGATGTGCCACACATGGGACCTACAGGCCAGCATGGTCCACTTTACAGATCTTACCAGGGGGAGTTGTTTTATACATCATATTTGTAAAATTGTGTTCAGAATTATGATGCCGTCTTAACAGAAGTGCACTCTTTCCTTCACATCACAACTGTGCCCAAAATAAGTGATGCTGATAAGGACCTGACCTGACCTGACCAAGGAGATGTTTTATACATCTCATGCACAATCAGCATCACTAATAAGCTCATTAAAAAACCCAGAGCCACTGCATCAATCTAAGATCCTAGGTCAAATTTAATTTACCATCAAATTGTAATATGAATTCCCCATCTATCAAGTGTGATAAGATGCAGTTTCTAACCTACTTTTATCCTGTTTATTAACATTACAAACACTTTATTTCTGCTGGTGTTATCTTACAGCTTTTATTATAGTATTATAGTGATGTATAGCATCAGGGTATTTTGGTCATTGTACTATATTTTAAGAACAGAGTACAAATACCATTGATTAGAGCAGCAGTATCACTTTTCTGCTCCCCTTTTACTTGTTCTTCTCATGTCTTCTGTCTATACTGATTCTCTCTTCCCAGCTCTGCACATTTTGTCTTTGTTTTTCTTTGTTGTTTACTGAACTAAATAGAGATATGCTGCTATCTGCTCAACAACCTGGTATCAGAGCAGGTTTCAGCCTTTGTCAGTTTGTCAAGACCTCAAGTGGGTTTGATCCAGCCAGTTTAAATGAGATAGGTAAGGGGATTGAGCAATAAGTGTTTAAAAGCCTGATTCTTGGAAGTTTCTTGGAATTCTAGGCCCTGTTTGGCAACGTTCCACGAGAGTGCTTCTTCTATTTCTGGCATTCCCGCAGAACAGAAACACGTTTGGCAAAAATAAAATGAAAGAAACGAGCCATTCCCGCATGAGAACAGAACCCAAAGAACAAATCGACACTCTCAAAGAACAGTTCTCTGGGAATGCACGGTTCCCACAACATACCTTATTAGTTACAAATACATATGCCACATTCCCATGTAAGAGTAGGGGCATTTTTGTCACTCCACCCAAAATAATAAACTCTAAACCATAATGTTCATTCATCGTTCCTTCAACCTCATCTCTACCGCTGCACAACCCAGGGAGGTGAACTTAGTCAAGGACAGTGAATGGCCAGAAACACATCTCCGACGACTTTTTTCCAACAAAATCATTTAGACAGGTATGGTTGCTTTCCTTCTTGCCGTTTCTTTGTTGTAGACCCGTGGATGCTCTGTTTTTTGGTCATCTGAACTGTAGTTCTCCCAACCCTTGTTCTGAGATGTTTTAGTGGTCCGAACCAGTCCTGTTCTGAGAGAGAGAGAGAGAAGAAGAAGAAGAAGGAGAGGAAGTTGTCGAACTAGTGAGATTAAACCCTACTAGTCGACCATAATCTGTATTATAATGTAATTAGAGTACAATGTCAAAGCTGCCCCTACTCAAGTATGGGACAAGTGAACTACAAAAGTCAAAACAGAATTGTCACATCATCATATGACTTAAACCATAATGAAAAGACTAATCTACCCTTACTCAACCAACACTAACACTCCCCCTCAAGCTGAGAATATCTGTCATATAATCCCAGCTTATTACATATATTCGCTCTCCCTAAACTCAAACCTTTTATAAACAAATCCACCCATTGATCACCTGAACCCACATGTTCTTTGCTTATCTCTCCAATAAGGACTTTCTCCCTCACAAAATGGCAACCAACCTCTACATGTTTTGTTCTCTCATGGAAAATAAGATTAGATGAGATGTGGATTGCAGCTTGGTTGTCACAATACAATCTCATAGGTCTACCCATTGAGAATTCAGTCTCTTGTAGAAGATTTTTCAGCCATACTAACTCAACAGTCTACTTCTTACTCTTCCATGTCACCAGATTTCCTCCAAGAAATGTGCAATAACCTGTGGTGGATCTCCTATCAGACACTGAGCCTGTCCAATCTGCATCTATATACCCAACTATCTCAAGTCTTCCTCCTGGTTTGTACAATAACCCATGGCCTGGAGCTCCCTTCAGGTACCTTACAATTCTAAGGACTGCATCCCAGTGAGATACCCGGGGATTCTGCATAAATTGGCTCACCACACTAACAACAAAGGAGATGTCTGGTCTTGTGATGGTCAAGTAGTTCAACTTCCCCATTAACCGTCTATATCTTCTAGGGTCATCAAATATTTCACTTGCATCACTACTCAACTTAGCATTCGGTTTCATGGGTGTTTCAGCTGGTTTTGCACCTAACAATCCCGTTTCATCCAACAGATCAAGGACATATTTTCTTTGGCACAAGCTTTCACCTTGTTTTGACCTGGAAACTTCTATACCCAAGAAATACTTTAACTTCCCAAGATCTTTTATTTGAAAATGGTTTTGCAGAAAGGCCTTTAGTCTGTCAATCCCTAATCTATAACTACTAGTTATGACTATATCATCCACATAAACTACTAATAAAATCTTTCCAGCTTCATAATCATAGTTGAACATTGAGTGATCGACCTGACATTGTTTCATTCCAAAATTTTTCACCACTTCAGTAAACTTCCCAAACCAAGCACGAGGAGTTGTTTCAGCTCATAAATTGCCATTTTTCAGTCTACACACCATACCATCCTCCCCCTGAGCAACAAACCCTGGTGGTTGCTCCATATATACCTCCTCCACAAGGTCACCATGGAGGAAGGCATTTTTAGTGTCAAGCTGAAACAGAGGCCAATCATACATAACTACCAAGGAAATTAAGACACAAACTATACCAATCTTTGCCACAGGAGAGAAGGTCTCCATATAGTCCACCCCACATAGTTGAGAATAACATTTAGCAACTAGTCGGGCCTTTAGCTGCTCCACACTACCATCTAGTAAGTATTTAAAAGTATACACCCATTTACAACCTACAACATGCTTATCAGGAGGAAGAGTAGTGACCTCCCACGTGTGAGTATGTTGAAGAGTAGAGAGTTCCTCCTCCATTGCTTGATTCCACTCAAGTGAAGTAAGGGCCTCCTGGACATCCTTAGGTATAGATATAGAGGACAACAGAGAAACAAACTGGCAATGTGAAGTGAAAAGGTGAGAGACATAAACATAATTGGAAATGGGATGTAGGGTACAATTACGTTTACCTTTCTGTAAAGCAATGGGAAGATCAAGCTCAGAAGGTTCTAGGACAGGAGCAACAATAAGATCCGTAGACGAGGTAGAAGCCAAAGGAGGTGCCGGTGTCTGTCGATGAGTATACATGTGCCGGATTGGTGGTCGTTCAATAGGAATCTACACTGGAGGAGGTGATGGTTCAATCATAACAAGAACAACCGGAACAGGGTCACCAACTAGAAGATGAAAATGAACCAATGGTGGAGAGGACGGTACTTCAGGCTCCGAAAAGAATGGTACGGACTCAAAAAATGTGACATCAGGATAAAGAAAAGACTTGAGAGTGATAGGATTGTAACACTTATACCCTTTCTGGGTCCAAGAATAGCCAAGAAAGATACACTTAATAAAGCATGCATCCAGCTTGTCTAAACCAAGACTCAAATTGTGAACAAAGCACACACACCCAAAGACCCGGGGAGTTTAATGGAAAGGGAGACCGACCGTAAAGGATGAAGGAGGGCATCCGATTAATAAGGAAATAAGCAGTAAGCACGTCACTCCAAAAACGTTTAGGAACGTTCATATGATGAAGAATAAACTGAGCAATCTCAAGGAGATGATAGTTTTTTCGTTCAGCCACCCCATTTTGTTGAGGGATAGATGCACACGAAGTTTGATGATTGATGCCATGTTGTTCCAAATATTGTTGAAAGAAGTAAGAAGGTATTCACAACCATTATCTAAACAAAGAACTTTTATTGGAACACCAAATTGTGTACGTATTTCAGCATGAAATTTTTGAAGAATAGAAAATAATTTACTCATTTTCTTTTATTAAATAAATCCATGTCATTCTTGAACAATTATCAATAAAAATGACAAAATACTTGTAACCATTATAGAACTCAATTTGGACTAAAGCAAAAGGACACAACATACAACTATCAACCCTAGGATTGAAGGAAACACGATGGTGTTTCCCATACTGACACGACTCACATTGTCAAGAAGACAAATGACTCAAAGAAGGAACCAGTAGCTTAAGTGCCTTGAGAGATGGATGTCCCAGCCAACAATGCCATTGGAGAGGAGTTAAGGAAGTTTGAAGTGCAACTGACGATCCACCACCGTCAAGATAATACAATCCATAGGCCTTATGCCCTCCACCAATCTTCTTCCCCGTCTTGAGATCTTGAAAAACAAAAGATGAAGGAAAAAATGTAATAGAGCAATTAAGGGCCTTAGTTAATTTACTAACTGACATGCGATTGAATGGAAATTTAGGCACATATAGAACAGATGATAAAGAAAGAGATGCAGTGTCAACATTACCAACACCACAAACGGGGGAAGAAGAGCCATTGGCCAGGGTAACAGTCTGTGATGTGGAAGTTTTAGATAGGGAAGAAAAAACCCTAGAGTCCCAATCATGTGATCAGAGGCTCCAGAATTAATAATCCAGTGAGAAGGTTTGGATGCCAGATAGGCCATACCTGAGTGTGCAACAATGGCAATGGTATGTTGTGAAGTAGTTTGAAGGAACCTCTCATACTCATCTCGTGGTACACTCATCATCTCCTTCCCGGAAGCA